TTTTTTTTTTTTTTTTTTTCCTTTACGTTGTTGAGTTCAATCTTTAGCCGATATATATTTTTCTTTTCTGCTGTCGTTATTTATTTTCTATTGGTTCGTATTTGAATTTTTATAATAATTAGTTTGAAAAAAAAAGAAAAGAAAAAAAAAAAAAAGCCTCGTATATTTGTTGTCATCCTCGATTACCCTAAATTATCATACGCGTGATATACTTCATCATATCCACCCTTCCCCTTAAACCCTTAACCCCTTTCTTCGATAACGCCTTCGATAAGAATAAACAAAAATTTCGCGACACGCGATCTTTGATAAATTGGAATAATTTGTTTTTCTTTTTTTTTTTTTTGTTCTTCGAATCGATGACAAAAAGGTTTCGATTAAATTTCTCTGGATGAAATTAATAATTGAAATTATATTAATTATGCGAGAATACTGTTGTGAAAATAAAACCGATGAGGAATAATTGTTTGTGTTTGTTTTGATCTCGTTCTTTTTCTTTTTGTTATATTTTTTTTTTTTTTTTTTCGTTGGATGAAACAAACAACACACACACATATATATACACGAGATATTTGATATATTATGGGTAGTTGATTCCCCCTTTTTTTTTTTTTCTTTTTTATTTTCTTAAATACGAGTTATATGCATAACGAATATGTGTCATGTATTGATGCGTTGCATAGTGGCGTTGATCGGAGATACTTCGAATCACCATAAACTACTGTATCTCTCCCAACTTCTTTTGGTAAGTTTGCATGTAATTCGATTAATTAAAAATCAACCGAATTTATATATATGAAAAAATTAATATTAATATTAAATTAAATCAATATATTAAGGCCACATCCATCTGTCATTGCCATATTCTCGTTATTCTTCTTCTTTTTCTTATTCTTCTTTTTCTTCGTCGTGTTCTTCTTCTCCTATCCTTCCTTTTTTTTTTATTTTATTTATTTATTTTTTTTTTTTGTAATTTTGGGTTTATTCACACGTAAGTTGTAAAATGTTTGTCTTTTTCTTATCATTTTGTTCATTGTATATTTATATTTCAGTCAAGTATGAACGATTTGTAGTTATTATTTTAATTATTTATTCACACTCCCATAAATACATATATACAGGTGTGTATGTGTGTGTGTGTGTGTGTGAAATATTGTTCATACTTGACTGTTTCATGAATTCATCATCGAATAAAATAATCATTAATGAAAATTATTACAATAGCCGTAGTGTCTTGGATCAAATTCGATCAATTAATTGCATAATACAATAATTAGAAACAATTGTTTAATTATTATCTATAGAAAATGCTTATTTAAATCGTAATTACATTTTTTCATTCGCAATCACAAGTTTGCTTTATCATTTACATTTATTCATCATCAATTCAAACATTTGGTTCCATATTGTTCAAACTTTTCGATAATTTTTTCTATTTTTTTTTTTTTTTTTTTTTTTTTTTCAAATAATAAAAAAATAGACACTCACGAAATGGTTCACGTTCATCGATAATTGTGCACACTTAACGTACAATGTATTTTGTATTAATTGTATCGTACATCTCTATT